CACCGCGGACAAGAGAGAGAAATTCAACACTAATCATAATTTAGCAGCAATAATTGATATGGTAATAAATTACTATTTTAAAGCATAACTCATTGATAATATCCAGTACAAGAAAAAACAAAAGACTAAGAAACCAAATCTCAATCTCATTAAAAAAGAAAAAAAAATTACAATCTCCTTCAATAAAAGTATGTTCTTGTCCCTTATCATGCTGCAGATTTCATTCAATAAGATATAGCAAGAAAATCAAAATTTTATGCAGAAAAGTATAGATTCAAATTCAAATGTCTTTCACAAATATAATCCTAGGATGATGTTGATATAATCATCAAAAGCCTTTCCTGGAATTAGTTTCAGTATACTTTGACCATGTTCAACATGATGGTCTCAACATGAGGGTAAGCTAGGTAATCTTTCTTTGTACAACACTTAATATTTTGGTTTCTCTCTGGCTAATAAAAATGTATCTATATCAGTGTAAGATGGAAACAATCAAACACATAAAGTTGAAAGTGCGGGTTAGGCCTCTCAAGCTCAATTATTATATCCTGTTCTTTCATTGTCTGTCTCTATAATGCAAGAAGTCTTAGGGTCTAGTATGTTCTAATGTGGATCTAAAATGAAATGCAAGATTAAATTAAAAGCTTTTAGACCATAAATTTTGACAAATATTTCTAACTTTTGATGAAAACTAAAAAACAAAAAATTTGCATAAATGATAAATTTAATGATAAACTAATAAAATTTTTGCATAAAAAATAAGACAACGAAAAATTACTTATCAATTACAAATCACACCACTATAAGAAAATCCTCGTTTTTCTCTAAATTATCATAACTTGTATAATTTATGTTAGCCAAAAAATATTCTACATACACAAATTACACAAGTTGTATAATTACTTTCTTTTCAATGCAACAACACTAAAGTCTAATACACAACAAGAAATGAAAGGGTCAATAGAGAATCCTAACCTGAACCAAAACGCCGAATGTCAAGATACCACCAATAACTCTCTTTTGGGAGATTCAACTCTTCCAGTCGTCTATCAAGATAATCAAGGCGTTCTTCCCTTTGGCTTCCACCAATGAGCTCACCAACCTGAAACAAGAAAACTATAAAGTTAACATAAGCCATAATATTAAACCCGCTCAAAATTCTGATGTAACCCCCCACTAATGTCCCATAATTTCCCCATGACCTTGAAAACTTAGTTATTATCCAAAGCAACAAGTTTTTACCACTAGTCTATCCTCAAAATCATTTTTAAATTGCCCATTAATGGTGCTTGAAGATCCTACAAATCGAGATAATTGTTTAAACTAGGAAAACTTCATACTGGTTCTTTTTCCATTACCACTCGTCAACATACGCACTAGAGCATTTATAGGCAGAAAACAAGAAAGACTTCTCGCTCAAACTTGGCAGTGAGATATATAATGATTTTATTGTGAACATGCGATAGAGCAAAATTGTGCTTTCTGACTTACCCTTGGAACCAACACATCCATTGCTGCAACTGTTTTCCCGTCATCATTTAGCCTCATATAAAATGCTTTGATATCCTAAAACAAACATGATAAGCAGCAGCAGCAACATTCTTTAAAATCTTGCCAATGTAAAAGTAGAAGGTATACCTTAGGATAATCTCTAATTATCACCGGGCGACCACCAAAAGCATTTTCGGTAATGTATCTTTCATGCTCACTTTGCAAATCTGTTCCCCATTTTACCTGTAAAATTGCACAACAATGTAAAACATGAACCGCTTAGAACTAATGTTGAGTTCTGAAAATTTTCTGTTCTAGTGAAACTGAGCATTTCAGTAAATGTTAAATATTGAGACATCATAAATTTACCTTCATGTGAGTTCAAAAGTTTATTCAGGAAAGTATGCTACCAAAATAACAGCATCCTATCCGTAGAAACGTTGAAGCATAGAAACTCCAAACCAACTTCTGTGCAATTCTTACACAACATAATTATAGATTTTGTCTAAAAGCAAAAGTGAGAACCGTCTTGGGCCAACATTATGAACTCATTCATCGCGAATGCTGCACAAAGTGTTATATCTATTTGGAGCAAATATTTTTGAATCTTTTATATCCACATTATTACATTCACTCCACTCATTTCTCTTCCTAATCTTTAGACATTAATTTTCCGTACTTGTTGTAAGAGAAGAACGCAAAGATGGGAATAAATTAGACAAGGAAAAAGAAAAGGGTTGACATGACAACATGAAATTTCCATATACAATGTCAACATAGAAGTGCATAATTCACTTACTGTAATTTTTGGGTGTATTCACAAAATTAAATTTCTATGTGAATTGAAATGGTTTGATGTGAGATTAAAAATCAGTACTAGAAGTAAGAAAAGCACAGAGGCTGGAGAATTCTTTCTACTTAATCAACTTGGTGAATGAGT